TTTTAAAAAGGGTTGGAATCAGGGCCCTGGGAGCAGCTCAGCTGTCAGCCTCACCTCTGTGACCAGGAAGGTCATGGAACAGATCCTCCTAGAAGTTATGCTAAGGCACATGGAGGACAGGGAGGTGATCCAAGAAGCCAGCATCACCAAGGGCAGTTCTTGCCTGACCAAATTAGTGGCCTTCTATGACAGAGTGACTACATCAGAGGACAAGGGAAGAGCTATGGATATCATCTATCATCTGGACTGGCCTTTGACACAAACCAGCCTCTTCTCTAAATTGGAGAGATACAGATTTGAGGGATGGACTGTTCGGTGGGTAAGGAATTTGCTGGACAGCCATGGACTCCAGAGGGTAGTAGTCAACAGCCCAATGTCTGGATGGAAATCAGTGTTGGGTGGTATCCCTCAGGGGCTCTGCACTGGGACATGCACTGCTTAATATCTTCATCAGCCACACAGTGGAATTGCTTGCACTCTCAGGACATGTGGAGAGGGCACCAAGCTGGGTGGTGTGGCTGAGGGACGGGATGGGATGACATCCAGAAGGACCCAAGCTTGCTTAGGAACCTCATGAGGTTCAACAAGGCCAAGTGCAAGGTGCTGCATCTGGGTCAGGGCACACCCCCCACACCCCCCAGTGGTGCCAGGACTTAGGAGTACCGGTGGGGAATGATGCTCCAATTGACTGGATGGCCGCATGCAGAGTTACAGTCAGCAGCTCAATGTCCACCTGGAGAACGGTGACAAGTGGGGTCCCTTGGGGTTGGTGTTGGGATCAATCCTGTTCAATTTCTTTGTCGGTGACATGGACAGCTGGATTGAGCACCCTCAGCAAGTTTGTGCTGACACTGAGCTGTGTGGTGCCATGACACACTGGAGTGAAGGGATGGGATCCAGAGGGACCTGGACAGGCTGGAGAGGTGGGACCTCTCCAGGTTCAACTTAAAAGGTTCAACAAGTCCAAGGCAAGGTCCTGCCCCTGGGTCAGGGCAATCCCAGGCACAGACACAGGTTGGGTGGAGGACTGAGAGCAGCCTGAGAAGGACTTGGAGGTGTTGTGTGAGAAGCTCCCCATGACCCGGCTTCAGTGTGCACTTGAGCCCAGAACCCCCCTAGTGCTGGGCTGCACCCCCAGAGCGTGAGCAGCAGCTCAGGGAGGGGATCCTGCCCCTCTGCTGGGCTCTGGGGAGACCCCCCTGCAGCCCTGTGTGCAGTGCTGGGGTCCCCAACATAAGAAGGACATGGAGCTGGTGGAGCAAGTCTAGAGGAGGCCATGAGGATGCTCAGGGGCTGGAGCAGCTCCCGCATGGAGCCAGGCTGAGAACATTGGAGCGGTTCAGCCTGGAGAAGAGAAGCTGCGTGGAGACCTCAGAGCAGCTTCCAGTGTGTGAAGGGGGCTACAAGGATGCAGGAGAGGGGCTCTTCATCAGGGACTGGAGTGATGGGACAAGGGGTGATGGGTTCAAACTGAAATGGGAAGTTCAGGTTAGAGATAAGTAAGAAATTCTTCCCTGTGAGGGTGCTGAGGTGCTGGCACAGGGTGCCCAGAGAAGCTGTGGCTGCCCCATCCCTGGCAGTGTTCAAGGCCAGGTTGGACACAGGGGCTTGCAGCAAGCTGCTCCAGTAAAAGCTGTTCCTGCCCGTGGCAGGGATTTAGACCAAGCAACCTTAAAAGGTCCAACCCAAACCATTTTAGGGCTCTCTGAAGAGCTCAGGTGCACACTGCACACCCACCTCAGGCTGCTCCACAGAAGGTGCCACAACAGAAAGCTGCAGCTGTTGCTCACCCGGCCCAGCGCTCACTCAAGACACCTCACTCTCATTCAAACCAAAGCCCAGCTCCAAACAGACCCCATCATGCAATGTAACAGGGTAATGCAGGCAGCAGGGAGCAGCTCCCAACGCATGAAGGTGCAGGCAGGCAGTGCTGCTGCAGGCACTGCACTGTGGTGCAGCCCATGGGGTGCTGGAGAACACTCCCACCCAATCTCTCAAACTGGAAGCACTAGGATGGTCCTAGAGCTGGGCACCCTTGAAACAGGAACCACCCCAAACCAGAACCCTGAACAGAGCTGGGCACCCCCAAACTAGATCCACTAGGATCCCCCAGAGCTCCCCACTAACTGCACTGCTTAAACTGGGAGCACTTGCATCCTCTTTTACACTCCCAGCACAGCCCAGACCACCAATCCCCTATGCCTCCTACGGACACTGATCCACAGGGCACTCAGGGCAGAGGGCATCATCCCACCATGTCAGAGGGGTGTTGCTGCAGCCCCACAGCTGCAGCTCAGCCCTGGCAATCCATGGAGAAGGGTGGGAGGGTCCCTTCCCTACTTGCTCAGAAGCCCCCAAGAAACACATCTGTGCCAGGACCAGCTGCCTGCATCTGTTCACCCCAGACCCTACTGAGGACCACACTGCAAGTTGTCTTCATACCTCCCCCAGCATTCCCCCCTCCACCATCCCCACATTCCCCACCCCCGCAAGGAGGAGAGAAGGGCACCACTGTGGTTTAACTCGTTTTATTTAGACTCAGAAAGGTAACTGCAACTCAGCTGGACCGTGCACACATGAGGCTGAGACCCAGTAGAAACGCAGTAAGTCAGGAGTGGGGTGGGACAGGGTGAGCTGCAGCAGGGAACAGCATCCAGGCTGCCAAAGGAATGGTCAGTCGTTAAGAGAAAGGTTTATGAGAGCTGCCCGCAGTCGGTAATGGTGATCTTCTTGCTTGTTTTGCCATCTTTGGAGCCACAGCGCTCCATGGCCTCCACCACATTCATCCCCTCCTTGACACAGCCGAAGACAACATGTTTGCCATCCAACCTGCAGAAGAACAGGTCACAACTGGCACCTGCAGTCTCCACACAGGGACCTCAGCACCAGGCCTCATATGCCATCTCCCTGCCCAGCTGGGTGCTGGGGTCCCCTGACTTACCATTCGGTCTTGGCAGTGCAGATGAAGAACTGGGACCCATTCGTGTTGGGGCCAGCATTGGCCATAGAAAGGATACCAGGGCCTGTGTGCTTCAGGATGAAGTTCTCATCAGCAAACTTCTCCCCATAGATGGATTTGCCACCAGTGCCATTGTGGCGCGTAAAGTCACCACCCTGCAAGGAGGCAACATTTCAGGTCATAGGTGCAGAAAACTCTCAAACCAGGCTGAGGCCCCCCAGAGGCTGCAGGCAGGAGGCAGAGCTGCCCTCCCACCCCAAACCTGCCAACACCCAACTCCAAAACCCACGCAAGCACCCGATCTCCTCACCCACCCACCCACCTCCCTGCTGCAGTGAGAGCACCACGCACCTGGCACATGAACCCAGGAATGATTCTGTGGAAGCAGGACCCCTTGTAGCCAAATCCCTTCTCACCAGTGCTCAGGGCACGGAAGTTCTCTGCAAAGGAAGAGGAAAAGCACCATGAGCTGCTCATTTTGTCCATAACTGGGGATAACATTAGGGTTTGGTGCAGCTGCAGCATTGCCAATACCACTTCACCTACCTGCTGTCTTAGGGACCTTGTCTGCAAACAGCTGCAAAGAGAAGAGAGTGTCAAAGTCAGGTTGAGGTGAAGACCAGCCACCTGCTCCCCAGGGGGCATCCCAAGCCGTGGGGATCCCCTGCCTCTCTGAGGCCAGGGACTGCGTCCAGGAGATGGATCCCAACCGTGCCTGCAGCTGCAAAGCACTCCCCACCTCTTGGCTTTCATCTGGAAGCATCTGGAAACTCTGAACTAACAGACCTGGCATCCGAACGAGGTGAACTATGCCACACGTCTCTCACGAGCACGGAGGGCATCGTCCACCCTGCCCAATGGGGATGAATTAAAAGCCTTTCCGGCTCCAGGCTCCGCGGAGTGCACGCTCCCGACCCCTCCGGGAGGATCCCGAGGCGCAGCCGCGCAGGAGCGCGCACCGCGGCAGCCGCAGCGGCTCCGGAGCGCGGTGCGCCCGTGCCAGAGATGCCTCACCCAGGCTGCGGCTCCGCGGGGCGACAAATGCTTCCCTTTGGCAGCGACAGCGCCGCGGCCGCCGCCCCGGAGCATCGTCGGGGAGCGGCTTCGTTGCGCTGCGCCCCAGGGCAGCCGCCGAGCGCAGCCCCGACGCGGGGGGGAACTGGCACAAAATGGCGGCGCGGGCAGCGCGGCCCCGATCCCGCAACGGGGGAAACGCCGCCGCCTTTCCCTCCCTCTTCCCCCACCCGAGCCTCCCCCGGGGCGGAGCGGAGCGCAGCAACCCCAGCGCGGGCACGGCGGTAACGGGGCTCGCACCCGCCGCCGCTCCCCAGCCGAGGCCTTTGTTCCCCTCGGGGCCGCAGCCACATGGAGGCAGCGCGGTGCCCCCCCCACCCCGCGCGGGGAGCAGCGCTGCTGCCCGCCCCCACCTCGAAGGTGACGCGGCCCAAGGGCTCGCCGTTGGCGGCGATGTCGAAGAACACGACGGGGTTGGCCATGGCGGGGCTGAGAGGGGCAGGGGCGGCGGCGGCGGCAGCGGCGGCGGCGACTCCACACGGCGGGCGCGGCGCGGCGCAGCAGAAGGAGCTCACCTCCCCGCCGCCCCTTATATAGGGCCAGGGGAGAGCCCGCCCCTCCCTGAAGAGCAGGCCAATAGCCACTGGAGTTCTGGCGGAGCGGCGGGGCCGCTGACCAATCAGCCATCGCACGTTAAAATGAGGAGGGGGGGTAGAGGGGGCGCGGGACGCGCGGGTCCGCGGCGGGTTAGGGCGGGGCGCGCATGCGCAGTGCAGGCACGGGGTGGCGGGGAAAGCGCCGCCGCGGAGGGGCTGACGGGGGCAGGGCCGCGGTGCGGGACCGGGAGCTGCGGGCTCCATCCCAGGCGGCCTCCCGCAATGACCACTGCGTTGGGCACGGGACGCAGCCTATCCTTCCCCTCGGGATCCCCGGCCCGGGGTAGATGTGGGGCAGCCCCACGGCGGGGTGACAGGACGGAGGAAGGAGGCCGCGCGGGGCCGCTCCCAGCCCGGCGACACGCGTGAGCCCCGCCAAAACGAAATCCTTTAATAGGCAGCGATACGGAGACGGTACAAGGATGCGCAGCGGCGGGGGGGGGGGCGCGGGGCAGCTGCGGGGGCCGAGCCCCACACACCGCACACCCCCCTCCCGCCAGGGCGTGTTACAAGGGGAAGCGGCATATGCACATTGATAGAGGGCCCGCACGACGCGCTTGCCTTTAAATACGGGGGGGCAGTAGTGTTTCTACACTATGTACAGCCTTGTGCTTCTGGCAGGGCTGAGCCCATCCCTCCGTCCATCCCATCACATCCCTCCCAGGGAAGCCCCCTTGTTAGGGAGTGTCCCGGCTCTGCGGCAGGCAGAGGCACACCAGTGCTGTCCCCCAGTCCCATACTGGGGTGTGAGGCTGGCTCAGTTGTTCTCGAAGAGGGAGAGGAGGTCATCGTTGCTGCTGCTGGGGAGGTCGGGGGGGCCCAGGTAGGAAAGCAGCTCATCAGGATTCGTCAGCTCGGGCAGGAGCTGGGGGCGCAAGCGTGTGATGACCGGCTCCCCCGCAGCTCCTCCCCACCCGCCCCATGGCAGCCGGGGTCCCAAACCGGCAGCGGGACCCCCAGCGACCCCGCCTGGGGTACTCACGTCGAGGGCAGGCTCGGACCCATCACCCGTCCCGGCCATGCCGGGCGCGGGGGGGAAGGAGAGGTCGGTGGCATGTGCCGGGCGGGAGGGGCCCAGGGGAGGCCGTGCCGGTGCGTTCCGGTGGTGCAGCGGCTGTGCTGGCTGGCTGCCTGGAGCAGGGTTGTGCAGTCCTGGTTGCACTGGTGGGTGGGACGGCTCCATCCGTCCCGGTGGGGGCAGCTGCGGGGGGGAGAGCACAGCTGTGAGACCCTCCCTCCACAGGAACAGCCCCTGGTCCCTCTATGGGGGACTGGGGGGAGCCCTCCACTTGCAGTCCAGCTGACCTGTGTGGGGAGAGGGGGTCCAGGGGGCTTCTCAGGGGCCAGGAGGCCACCAGGGATGTTGGACTGGTAGGAAATGGGGGGGGGTCCCGGTGTGAAGTCACTCAGCGTTGGTGTGCCTGGGGGGCCAGGAGGAGGGAATGGCTCTGGGAAGCCCCCAGGTCCTGGAAAACTGGAACCTACAGGAGGAAAGCAGTTGACTGAGGGTCAAACAATGTAGATAGGGTTTGTCCCTTTTCTCTATTGGCCCCGCCATACCTGGGGCACCATAGTCGGCAGCAGCACCTGCCGGCGTTGGCGGCAGTGCCGGGAAGGGTGCAGAGCTGGGTCCCAGGGCCGCAATCATCTCCATGATGCTGGGCAGCACCATGTGCGTGGGACTGAGAGTCCGGCACCGCTTCAGCACTGGCCCCTCTGGCTCCTCCTTGACATGGATGTCAGGTTTAACTGGGACAGGTTTCCAGCTGCAGGTCGGGTCGATTGTGATCTCCTCGTGCTCCGAGCTGGTGACAACAGGATGGCGGGGAGGGCTCAGACTGGGGTAGGGGGTGACCACATGGCTGCCAGGTCTGGCACCACGGCACCCCATCCAGACAGATGGAGTGGCGACACTTACTTCTGGATATAGATCAGGATGCCCAGCATATACTGGTCTACCTCCAGCCCCTCCAGCAGAGCCGTTTTACTGCAGGCAGGGAGAGGCAAGGTAAGGGGAGGGAACCACCCCAGCAGGCAGGGAAACAAAGGCTCCACCAGGGCCCCCACTCACTTGCAGACAGGACACCGCCATGTCCCCCTCTCACAGTTGAGCTGCAGGTAGGACTCCAGGTCGAAGCACTGGGGGGAGAGCAACGGCTGAGTTGGCAGAGGGGGAACACAGGCTGGGGGACACCCCCCAGTCCCCTGCCACCGATACCCCTACCTGTATGTGCCGGCAGTCATGGCCCCTGGCTGGGAGCTGAATCCTCCGGAAGGTGATGGGACACTTGAGGGACACCTTGATGGCCGTCTGCTCCACACCATCCTCGCCATTTGGTCCTGGGGTCCCGGGGATTGTCCCGCTGCTGAAGTTGCGCTTGACTGTGGGGGAAGTGAGGGGCACTGAGGGTCAGAACTCGGATGCCGCGATTGGGGCAGCACTGTCGTGTGGTGCCCATCACCCCCATCAAGCTGCAGCCCCCAACCAGGGTGTCACCCCCAGCCCACCCAGAACACCAGGGTGCTGGCTGCAGCACTCACTTTTGGTGATGCAGTGCTCAGCAGGGAGCAGGCGCTTCTTGATGAGACCCTGCAGCACTGAGCGCACCGAGGGCCGGTGCACCAGCTGCAGGACAAAGAGGTGGGACTGCAGAGAAAGAGAGGAGCTGAGCCGCGGTGCCAGCGGCCCCCACCCCGTCACAGGGACAACACCCCCCAACAACTCACACAGCAGCAGGCGGTGACGGTGATCTGGATGGTGTTCCTGCCAGGCTGGCAGACGTGCTTCAGGTAGAGCGGCTTGTGGGAGGTCTTGTTGTCACCGCGCTCAATAGTGAGCGGGGTGGCGTTGACGCTCACCTGCACAGAGGCTGGCCAGTTGGTGTTCATCTGCCGGTCCTCATGGTGGTAGCACTTGAACTGCAGCTCCAGGTCAGGCCTGGCAGGACACGCAGGAGAGTGGGCAGGGGTGTGGGCAGGGATTTGCCCACACACGAGCCACTACAGCAGGTACCACCACACCATACTGGACCACGCCAAATACCACCATGCCCTACCCCACTGCATGCTGTGCTGCTATACAACACTGTGCCAAGCCACACCATGTACCATCTACGCACTGCCCCACCACACCACGGCGCACAGCACCATGCCATGGTGTGAGGCACTGCTCTGTGCAGCCCTGTGCCAAGCAGCACCGTGCTGCTGGGTGCCACATATCATGCCGTGCTTTGCCTGCCCCACCGCTCACACCTCATCATGAGGGTCTTGTAGACGGAGTCGCGCAGCTGGAAGACATGGTTGCTGACGGCCAGGTTGTGCTGCAGGCGGAAGGGCTCCAGCACCACGCCATCCCGCACCGGGAACGTCAGCCGCAGCTCCTCGCCGGGCGCCGGCCCTACCCGGGACACTGTCAGCGGGATCCCGCACCCGGCCACGCCCCCCACAAGCCCCGCCCACTATCGAACCACCCTGCGAGAGGCCCCGCCCAGAGACCACGCTTCCCCATGCAGGAAGCTCCTCCCACCATATGGCAGAAGCCCCGCCCACCACATCAATGCAGGAAGCCCACCACAGCCCCGATTAAGCCCCACCCCTCTCACAAGCCACTCCCTATACCTATAGCCCCGCCCCTATGCAAGATGAGCACCGCCTCACTCGGCCCTCATTGGGCAGCGCCTTAGAGGCCCCGCCTGCAGCCCCTCGCAGTGGACACGCCTCCTGCGCTGAAGCCCCTCCCTTTGCCTTAGATGCCTCCCTGCAGCACCTTGCTCTTAAGGGGGCAATGCCGCTACTGCGGCAGCGCGGCCCACACAATGGCCCTGGGGGAAGGGGGTCTCTGCAATGTGGCTATCCCACCCCAAGGCAGCGCTCCGCCCTCCCAGCCAGCGGCACCTACCAGAGGGGGACGGGTGCAGGGAGGTGACGCTGGGCTTCATGTCTGGCAGGAAGGGTGACTTGACGTCCTGACCGGGGGACACATAGGGAGGCATGCCACTGCCCGGTGTCATGGGTGGTGTGGGGTTCCCGGCCAGCGGCGAGCTGGGGTACCCCGGCATAGACCGGCCCGGCTGTGGAGGCACCGCGCACCCTCAGCGCCCGACTGGGCCGGCACAGTCCCCCACCCCACCCGATGCCAGGACTCACCCCGTTGACGGCTGCCTGGCTGTAGGTGCCAAAGCCGGCATTCTGCCCGTTGAACTGGTCAGCTGGCTGCGGGAAGAGCAAGGTCCTGGTGGCTGGCACCAGGGGATGGCAGACACCCGGCCTCCCACCCTGCATCCACTGTGTTCCTTGTGGTACCTTGTAATAGGGTCCAGCGCTGCCCGAGGCGGAGAGGTACTGGCTCATGCCCTGCTGCAGCCTGTGGCCGGGGTAGGAGGGTGACGGAGCAGAGGGCTGGGGGGCGCTGGGCGCATACTGGGCCCCAGCTGCAGCATACTGCCCACCCTGGAGGTACTGCTGGGCCGGGTACCCCTGCGGGGCCGGGGGGTCAGTGCCAGTGGGGAGTTGTGGAGAAAGGTCCCGGCGCACCATAGCCCCACCAGTACGTATGCTCACCTCGTTGGAGTACGCCCGCTTGAGGCCCTGGCGGGGGAGCTGCTGGCTCGGGGTGGGACCAGGGTAACTGTGCTGGGGGACCCGCTGCCCTCCATAAAGGACACTAGCACCAGGTGCCCGTGCAGGGCTCATGCTCACAGGGGAGATGCCAGAGGAAGCCATGACACCTGCCATGCTAGCCGGGCTCATGCCGGCCGGGCCACGGGGTCCGGCATGAGGCAGGAACTGGCTGCTGAAGGGCTGCCCAGCACCCATCTGCAGTGGTGAAAAGAGGGGGTCACAACAAGGTGGGGGGGGCACCGCCAGCTTCCCAGCTCTGTTGCGGGTGGGCTCTTACCGCACCGTACTGGCTCAGCTCCTGGCTCTGCTTCTCCTGCAGTGCTGCCACCGTTGCTGTAGCTGTGGCTGTGGCGGTGGCAGCGGCGGCGGCCACGGCAGCAGCAGCAGCTGCCTGGGTGAAATCGGCGGGGGGCCGGCTGGCGTGCGAGGGGAGCCCCATCCCACCGGGGCCACCAGGGCTGCCAGCGTAGCTGGAGGAGAGAGAAGCAGGAAAGGGGCGTGCAGCGGCCCCACAGTGGCCATGTGCCAGGACAGGGGAGTGCAGGGATGGCCTTACCCAGCAGCGAAGCCTGGCCCGCCAGGGTAGGCACTGCGGCTGTAGACGCCCGGCTGCACGTAGCCCTTCCCAGGTGCCCCCTCAGCAAAGGGCTGCTGAGGCAGGAATGGCGGCGAGCTCATACCTGAGCCGGTGCCGGCCATACCAGGCAGCAGCGGGGTGCTGGAGCTGCTTCCCCCAGGACCCATGGGGTTGCCGAAAACCTGGGCAGGGGACGGTGCAGTAGATGAGGCTGGGGTAGCAGGTGAGGCCATGGCAGCCATGCCCATCCCTAGGGTGTCCCCGTGTGGGCAGTGGGGATGCAGTAGGTACCTGGCTCTGGGAGGTGTTGCTGACACCCCAGACGGTGGTTACCACGGAGAGGGATCCCGCCGGCTGATTGGTGCTCGGTTGCCAAGGAACAGCCTCATATGCAAATGAACCATCACTATAAGTAAAAACAAATTAATTAAAAGCGGATGGAGAGAGGGATGGAGGGGCCAGAGCACCCGGGCCAAGCTCACCCGTGGGGCGCAGGCGGCAGGGAGGGTTTCATGGGGTTCATGGGGTTCATCGGCGGAGGCCGGGTGCAGGCTGGGTCTTCTGAGGCCGGGGCGGGAGCTGCGGGATGGTGTCACCGTCACAGGGGCTGCGGGGGTTACAGGGAACAGCGGGTGAGGGGTGAGAAGCCCGGAGCCTGCGTAACGTCCCCCCCACTCCCCGGCACCACCGGGACCTGGCGCCCTGCCCGGGGCAGGCAGCGGGAGCCGCCGGCACGGGCCCCGCCCCGCAACTCCCCCGTCCGTCCGTCCCCCCGTGCTGGTTTCCCCCAAAAACCCCCGCGGACGCAGCCCGCCCCCTCCCCCCCCCCGCCGCGGGCTTCCCCGCACGCTGCAGGCGGGGGAATCGGCGGGGACTCCTGGGGCGAGCCCCGCTGGATGAGGGGGGAAGCGGCCTCCCCTGCATCGCCCCCCGCCCCCGGCCCGGAGCCTCCCGGGGTACTCCCGGCCCAGCCCGGGTCACGCCGGCGCCTTCGGTTCCTTCGCGGCCCCCCGGGAGGTGCCACCCGCGCAGAGGCCGTGACAGCCTCTCCCTCGCCCCCCCCCCCCCCCCCGCCGCGGGCCCGGTGGTACCGGGACCTCCCCCGCCGTTGCCATGGCAACCGGCGCCCCCGGGCACGGCGGACCGAGGGAGGGGGGCGCGGGGCCATTTTCGGCCGCGGCGCGGAGGGACCCGCCCGGCGCTGCCCGCACTCACCGTCGCGAGCGGCCCAAAATGGCCTTTGGCGGCGCCGGGCGCGCGCGGCTGCGCGGAAGCTGCGCGGGACTTTCAGCCCGCGCGCGAACCCGGCTCCATGGCGGCGGCGGCGGCGGCGCGGGGGGGACGGGGCGGGGCGGGGCCGGGCCGAACCGAACCGAGCCGGGCCGGGCCGGGCGCGCGCCGCCGCCGCCGCCGCCGCGCACAATGGGGCCGCGAGCGCATCAGTATGCACGGCCCGCCCCGCGCCGCCCCGCCCCGCCAGGCGCGGGCAGCCGAGCGCCGAACGGGGGACCCCGCGCGATGACACTGGGGGGGGGGGGGAGTCGTGCGTGAGCGGATGCGGCAGCGCGCGGGGCGGAGCGCCCGTGGCACCGTGACAGGCGGCTGCGACACCAGAGCGCGCCCGCGTGACACCCGCACGAGCGGGGCTCGCACACGCGTGTGAACCCAGCCGTGCCGTGCGCGAGTGTGCGCTGCACTGCACCCCCACACCCCCCACAGCCCCCGCGCACGGCTGAAGGAGTCCCCCGCGGTTACGAGGGAGGCCGAACGCGAGTCCCGGTCCGGGGTCATCACCGTCACCGTCACCTCCACCCGGGACCCCACCGGAGGCCGAGCGGCCTCAAGAGAGAGTGCTCGCGGGACGGACACACGCGGCAGCCATCTAACTCCCAGCACCGGGCCGGGGAAAATGGGAGGAGACTGGACCCACCGCGCTGGACAGCCCCGATGTGCTCTGGAGCAGCCCCTTCGCGGAGAAGGGAACCGAGGGTCCCACCCGCCACGGCTGCAATAACGGCGGCCCAACACGAGCCAGACAAGGACTCCAGGCGCTCGCGTTGGGGTTTGACAAGGTCTGTAGTTAAGGAGCTGGGGGTAGGCGAGCGAAGGACAGACAGACGGACAGACAGTCAGACAGACAGGAGCATGCTGCGGCAGCCGGGCTGGCGCCTAGGACAGGTCCTTGAAGGCGTCGAGGTTGAAGGCCGTGTCCAGGAGCCGCTGCAGCTCCGTCAGGTGGGTTTTCTTGTTGCCGGTGGCAGGGGCAGCTGCTGGCTCCCGCCCTGCATACCTGCGGGGGACACAGTGGGGATGAGGGGGGTCTGGACCCCTCAGGCTCCCCCCCCAGCATCACAGCCATACCCCCACTCCCCCCGAGCCCCTACCAGACAGGCTTGGCGCGGTTAATGGTGGTGCGGAGCCGGGGTTTGACGTAGTCATAGTAGCCCTGGTTCTTGTGCTCCTCCTGGCACCACACCAGCTCAGCAGCTGGGTACTTCTCGGCTTCCCGCTGGAGAAGATCGAAGGGGAACGGGGAGAGCTGTGGGGGACACGGAGCAACGTCACAGTGGTATCACGATGGCCACAGCATGCCCAGCCTGCAGGACTGTGCTCACCTGCTCCACCCTGGTGATGGCCACATCAGCCTCCATCTGCTGGGCCTTGCGCTCGCGCGTCAGGTCGTAGTAGACCTTGCCAGTGCAGAAGAGCACCCGCTTTACCTGCTCGGGGTTCTGCGCTGCTGGACCGCTGTCAGGGATGACGCGGAGGAAGTGGGTGCCTGACAAGGGACAGGATGGCACCATCAGCCACAGCAGCACAGGGCAGGGTGCCGGCATCCAAACCCCGCACCAGGCCCTTTGGGACCCCAGCCTTAGCGAGCGAAGCAGAGAGGCAGGGTCAGACCAGCCAGTACTGGGTCCAGCTCCCAGTACAAACCATCACGACTCAGGGCTGCCAAATCCCAGCTGCATCGCTCCAGTAGGAAGCAGCTGTTGAAGGAAGAAGCGCCATGGCAAACACTGGGAAGCTGAGCTGTGTCACCCTGGGGTGCCGGACTTGGCACCAACAAGGGGTGGCTCCAATTTGCTGGGTAGATGTCAGCAGCCAGCACACCCTGACCACGTCTGGGCGAGCACAGGAGGAAGGCAGCCTGGTGCCACACCGGCACAGAGCTCCTGCATGGGCTGTCTGCGGTGCCCTGATGCCAGTGGCATGAGCCTCACTTGCTGCTCTTTGGCATAGAGAGGCTGCTGCCAGGCGGACTTTACCCAGGGCTGCTGGCTCCTGCCCTTCACCCTTCATCCCGTGGCACGGGGTGGGGGGGAAATGGACACCTCCGCGGTGCTTGTACCTGGCAGCATGTCATCGAAGCTGGAGCGAGCTTCGGGGTGACGCAGCAGAGACTTTGGAGTGAAGATTATCAGCTGGAGTGGGGAGAAGAGGCAGAGTGAGGTGGTCAGCCTCACCAGAAATACCAACCTGCCCATCCTCCCCACCCCTGAGCTCAAGGAGCAGTCACAAGAAATTCGCTCCTCCCTCGGCTGCTGTGCCCTCCCAGACTGGGCACCAGTTTCTGATAGCACCGGCTTTCCCAGTCTGTGTTTCCCCTGGGGAAACGGCTGAAGTGCTGCTGTGGATGTGCCAGCCCCATGGCCAGAGCCAAGGGCAAGTGGCTGGACTGGGTTATTTATTGATGTCCACTGCCCCAATGTCTCTGTCCCTGCCATGAAGCACAAGAAAGGATGCCAGCCACCCAGGCTGCACGAGCTGGCTGGCTGCATGCCATGTACCAAGCCAGCTCTGAGCACCAGGAGGTCCTTGGCCCGGACAGGGGCAAACTGCCCATGTTTGCTGCACCAGGAGGTAGAAGAACAAGCCCACCCCAATCGCTACCCCCAGACTGGGCAGGGACACGGGACTGCCAGCACTGACCGGTTTGCGGAAGGGCAGGAGAATCTGGCGCCGGAGGACGTGGAAGAAGTTGGCAGGAGTAGAGCAGTTCACAACGATCCAGTTGCAGTCATAGAGCTGGCGCACGTCAAAGTCATCCAGTTTCTGCCTCGGTGAGCACAGTTCAGGGGATTTCAGGAAACACAAGGTGCATCTTGGCCTCGCAGCTCCAGCAGTGGGGAGAAAAGCAGCACCCAGCCCTCCCTCCCTCCTCACCCCCTCTGAAGAGACTTTGGAGGGGCTGCAGTTCCGTGCTTCTCATCTTGGGGCAACCCGCTCCTAGGCCTCCCTCTGGCCACCTCTGCCTTGAACTGTGCAGCAGCCCCAGGTGTGGTGGAGGTGCAGCCTGGGCACCAGGTTCAGCCCCTTTCCCCAAACCCTCCCAGCTGCAGTGCAAGCCCAGGGCACCCCACGCCTCCTGCTACACCCGACCCGACCACAGCACCATGCTGAGCCCACCCAGGTGTCGTTGCCCCCCTCCCCAGCTGAAGGCAGCGGTCAGATCCAGGATGCAGGAGGCTGAGCTCAGCGCGGTTGCCACTCACGGGGAAGACATCGGGATCATCGTTGCACATCTGCAAGAATCGCTCTGGCCGGGCGGAGGAGTGCTCAGGACCCTGCAGGGACCAGCAGGGGACAAGGTAAGCAGGAGGCAAGGCTGGTGCTAAACCCCGGTGCCGAGCACTGCCACACTGCAAACAGTGCTACCTGCTACTGCTGCCCTTGGCTCTGCATCTGGTGCAGCCAGGCAGTGGCACCCTGGGGTGCCCGCAAGCTGGGGGTCCTTACCATGCCCTCCATGCCGTGGGGAAGCAGCAGGACGATGCCGTTCTGCCTGACCCACTTGGCTTGCCCAGGACAGATGAACTGGTCAATTATGCACTGAGCAGTGTTGTGGAAGTCCCCGAACTGGGCTTCCCAAAGCACCAGGGCATTGGGGCTGGCCATGGCGAAGCCCAGCTCGAACCCTGAGGGATGGGAGAAAAGCAAGGGGTTATCCTCCTGGAGCACCTACCTCCCATCTGCCAGTACAGACCTCACTCACCAAGGACTCCATACTCCGACAGGGAGCTGTTGCAGACGGTGTAAGGAGCCTGGTTGGGCCAGAGGTGGTTCATGGGGATACAAGTCCTCTTGTCCACATTCTGGTCATGCAGGACGTGGTGGCGATGGCTGGAAGAGGGGAAAGCATTACTCCATTGCCACCCTTCGGATCTCTTCCAGGAAGGCTGGAATTGCCTTTACCAAGAGCTTGGCTTTACCTGAATGTCCCCCTCTCCACATCCTGGCCACTCAAGCGGATGTGGATGCCATCTTTGAGCAGGGAGCCAAATGCCATGTACTCTGCCAGGGCCCAGTCCACCGTCCGGTTCTTCACCATCTCCCCACGGGTTTTCAGAATACGGCTCAAACCTGCCAGGATAGAAGCTGGTTTGTAGACAGGATGGGAGGGAGCTCCAGCAACACCGTGTTTGTCCCATAACCTGCCCACAGACTGCCTGACTGCAAACACCCAGAGGCAGTGGAACAGACCCACCCCTGCCAAAGGGATGAACCAGGCATGAGAAATTGGAACTGCAGGAAAAGGATCAGCTCTGAAGAAGAGTTACTCCTCGCTTCACTTCCCATAGCCACAGGTCCCTCATGAACTAATCCTCAGACTCACAGAAAGGTTTTGGTTGGAAGGGACCTTCACAGGTCACACCTTCCACTATGGCAGCTTGCTCCAAGCCCTGGCCAACCTGGCCTTGAACACTGCCAGGGATGGGGCAGCCACAGCTTCTCTGGACACCCTGTGCCAGCGCCTCAGCACCCTCAGTATAAAATAGCTTCTTCCTTATGTCCAATCTAAGCCTACCCTCTTTCACTTTAAAACCGCTGTCCCTTCTTCTGTCACTACAGACCCCGGTAAAAAGTCTCTCTGTGCCTTTCTCATAAGCCTGCTTTATATACCAGAAGGCTACAGTAAGGTCTTCCAGGAGCCTTCTCATTTCCAGGCCAAACACCCTGAGCTCTCTCAGCCTTTCAGCACAGGAGAGGTGTTCCAGGCCTGGGATCCTTTTGGAGGCCTCCTCTGGAGCCTTTCCAACAGATCCACATCATTGTGCTGGGACCCCAGAGCTGGATGCAGTGCTCCAGGTGGAGGTCTCAGGAAAGCAGAGTAGAGGGGGAGAATCCCTTCCCTACACCTGCCAGCCACACGTACTGAAGCACTGTAATGTCCCTTCCTTCCAGGCCATGTTCCAGCCCTATCCCACATCTTCTCTGGAACAAAACCCAGTGTGGCATAGCTTCTGCAAGCTCCTACCTCCATGGATAGTGAAATCCTCCACTGGCACTGAGCTGGCCACTTGACCAATGTGTGTCAAGTCCTCTTCATTCAGACCAGT